CAGAAGTAGATCTTAGCACAAACTTAGCAGTCATAGGATGTATTCCTAATTATGTCATGAATATTAGAGAATTTAGTAAACACATAAAAATTAGCATAAGAACAAAAAATTATAATATGAAAGGTGAGTACAAAAATTTAAGTATCAGTCTTATGTATGTAGGAAAAATTTCAGATTGTTATAATTATAAATTTAATGTAGAATTTCAAAATTTAGTACAAACTTTTGGTAGTAAACATGTTAATATGATAGAGGCAAAACCAGTAGATAATAGTTTTTTAGAAGGAACATAATGGATTTTACCCAACCTACAAGTAGCAAAAAATAAACAACCTAATAAGGCACAAATTTTTGAAAATCGTATAGGTGAAGTAGTAGTAAGATTTACTAATTATAAACAAATAAATGATATAGAAGACTTAGAAAGTGAATTAGAAGAAGAAATACATATGACATTTGATAACTTAGAGATAAATATGATTGAGCATAATTTTGATAATATAGTTAATAAACTCATAGATGACATAGATAATTTAGATGAAGAAGAATATATAGAAAAATATAAAACTTATAATTTAGGATTACATAGATTAACAGATAAAGAAATGAAAGATTTAATTTTAAATATAGGACTAGAACATATTTTAGGAGAAAAAGAATATCAAAATATGTTAATTGAAGAAGAATGCATGCCAATAGAAGATCAGTATAGTTCAACTGGACCATCTGTAGCCCCTGCAAGTAGAACATATCAACAAAATCTGAGGCAAACTAATGAACCATATAGAGAAAATAAAGAAACTGGTAGAAATGCTTTCCAACAAGAAGCATTTGGAATAAGAAAAAATAGAATCCCTTATAAAGGAATTGAACAAATTAGTTTAGCAAGAAATATATTAAATTTAGATGATGTAGACCCACAGGATTGAGAAAAAACTATAGAAAGATGGGAGAAAGGATGTGTACATGCAGCATTAATGTTAGATTTTAGTAATAATAAAGATATGTTAGATTACTTTGAACATACCTTAGATGGAATGGTTTTTTTATTATTTTCAAGCATGGAAAACTAAAAATCCAAGAGAACATCAAGCAGCAAAAGAAATGTTTAATATAGATGCTTTTGTTAAATTAATTAAATACGAGTTTTTAGACCATAATAGACTAGATGGTAGAAATGAACAAGAACAAATTAGAGCCATAAGAAATTTAGAACAATTACAAATTTGTGATTTACAATATATTAGTGAATATACTTCAGATTTTTTCAAGTATTTAAGTAGAACATGAAGAATTGATGATCTTAATATGTTAGATACTTATATGACAAAAATTAAAGGAGCAATAGGAGAAAGAATTTGGAATGAATGGCAAAAACACCCTAGGAAATTAGATGTATCCATAGGAGCAAGAATACAACATGTATATGATATATTACGATCAGAATGCAGTCAAATAAAAGCAAAAAGACAAATTAGAAAACAGTTTTACATGAGTTGTAAAAATATAGATTTACCCAAAAAGTATAGATGTCATAGAAAATTTAGGCAGAATAAGCCACATAGAAAAAGCTATAGAAAATATAAACCTTATAAACAACAATATAAAATTTTTAGAATTCAATAGAAGAAGAAAATATATCCCTAAACAATTTAGGAAAAGAACAAATAAACCATGGATTGGGAAATATAAAGTACCTAATAAAAGTACATGTAAATGTTATCTTTGCGGTGAAATAGGACATATTAGACCTAAGTGTCCCAAATTAGGAAAACAACCTAGAGAAAAAATACAACTAATTGAGAAATTTCAATTAGAAGATGATGAGGACTTAGAATCAGTCTATAGTCTAGATGATAACCTAAGCGATAATGAAAGTATTTATAGTGTTAATGCCTTAGACTCAGAATCAGAATCAGATTACTCTAGTAATTCCAATAGTGAATTAGATGAACATATGTGTATGTTTGAAAAACAAACAAAGCATGAAGAATTTAAATATGTTAATTTAGGATGGCTTCAAGAATGTAATCAATGGAAGAAAATAGTTGTAGAAAAATATTACACTAAGACAATATAGTTTATTGTAAACCTTGTTTCAATAATAGATCAATAGAAATAAATACATTTGAAATAGATAACAATAATCAAAAGAATAAACAAAAAATAATCGTAGTCACTCCAGCATTGTTAGCACAATATGGTTATTTAGGACAACTCTATATTGAAAATAGCAAGCATTTAGATTCATTCTCCCCAAAATTTAGAGAAATCATAAGTTTTTATCTGCCTCTCTGGAAAAATGTAAAATTATATTTCACTAGCATACCCCCAAAGTGGTTTGAAGATAACATTTACCCAGATAAAGCACAACATAGAATCATTATTTCTTTTAATGAATTGCTTAGTCCGGAAGAATCAGCACAAACATGAATTCCTACTAAGCAAGATATCCAACAATATAGAGGAGTAACAACTATTTAATGATGATCATCTGACCCTCCTGTACCAGTCCAAGTTTGTCAATGTGTATTCAGAATCCACATCCAGGAGACCAGATGACATATATGAATACATGATCAGCACGACAGGAGAAAAAGTTTTTGATGAAATCTATAACCAGATAACAGAGCAAATTATAGCAGAAGACACTGACAACACATACTGGAATAGCTTAGGAGAAGAAGAGCTACACAATATAGATAACATGACGGACGCATGAAGACCACGTGAAGAAACCATCCAGCAGAATAGTCACCAAACTATTTGGCTCCATACGGCTAGTACGAAGCAACATATGAAAAGAAGAAACATTTTGGTTTCATCCGGCTAACAGAAGTAGAATGATTCCTTAGGAAATCCCAAAATGAATAGGGGCATTATTGTCCAACCACTTTAATTTTGTCATTCTTTATAAATAATGTACCCATTTTGGGTTTATTTATAAGTCTCCAATCATTTTATCCCTATTCACTCTCCCATAAAAACAATTTTTTTTAAAAAGGTTAGTATATTGTAGTTACACTCTTAAGACATGTTAATCCATACTTTATTAATTTTTACAATAACATACCCCAGTCTTTTAAATTGTTACAATGTAGTTCCACCGTACGGTTTCCATCAGATCTCTCCGTTAGTTGCCTATGTGGCACTATGAGTCCCATTTTTTTTTAAAATGGATTAAAATATAAATAAAATATTAAAAAACGAAAAAAACCTCTCTCTCTTTCCCGATTTCTTCTCCCCCAATTCCCCAATGACCACCACCAGCAAGCTCCAACCCCTAAACCCATCCCACAACCACTCTCCACCCCAGCTTGCAACCACAACCCCCACGAACCCAGAACCCCAGCCTTGATTTCTTCCCCAGTTATTAAATCTAGTTGAAAATTAGTCAACCCCTAAATTCTCTCAGCTTTGGAAATTGGCTGCCACAACTCCCTCCCCAGATTTGTCGGATTTTGAATTTGTAGAGAGAGATAGACAGAGAGGAGAGAGAGATAATGACCATTAGGCTAGGGTGCGGTGAGTTGGGGTTATGTGTTCTTTTGGGGGTGAGCGAGCTGGGGTTCTGGGTTCATTGCAGGCTGGGGTTCTAGGTTCTTTTAGGGGTGGGAGAAGAAAATCACAGGGGGAAAGAGGAAGAAGAATATCGCGGGGGAAGGGGGGCTTGGTTGGGGAGGATTTTTTTTAATGCAATTTTTTCAACCAAAAAAAAATGAAAAATGTAGGACCAACAGTGCCACATATGCAACTAACAGAGAGATCTGACGAAAACCCTAACGGTGGAACTACATTGTAACAAATTAAAAAAACCAGGGTATGTTATTGTAAAAATTAAGAAAGTAGGGACTAACATATATTAAGAGTGTAATCACAGGTACTAAATTATAATTAACCCTAAAAAAATTAATTAAGTTATTAGCATAAGTATGTGAAAAGGGATGAGGAATTATCCAAGTAAGACCCATTAATTTCTCCAAAAAAAAAAAAAAAAGTTAAAAAAAAAGAGAGTAAAAGACTTGCCATAGATGAAAAAACTTATATTTGACCCAAATAAATGAAGAAATATAGCTCATTTTACCTATCTGGGGCAAACTAAAGGTAAAATTTGTTTAGAACGCATATAATAGTCAATGACTTGAGATTTTCTTACATTGACCAGTCTCACTGAAAAAGACCCAAAGCATGAAAATTAACCGCCTCTCTCTCTCACTCAGACTCTTCAAACCCAAAAGCTCGCTTCCTCTGCCCTTCTTCATCACAGATCACAGATCACAGATTCGGTTGGAATCATTTTCTGGAATTTGTCTCTTTCCAATTTTTTTTTAAATTGAAATAATAATAATAATAATTATTATAAGTTTTCTGTTTGACCTTCTTCTGCTTCCATTGTTTTTGTAAAATCAGCATATCAGACTCAGATGGTGCCTCCCTCATGCTTCAACTGAACCAGCGAAGATGAGAGGGCCTTCCCCAAGTCCCATTGAGCCCAGACACCGCCTATCTTCTTCAGCTAAGTCAGTCTCTCTCTCTCTCTCTCAGTTTTTTCTCACTTTTTTTTAGTGTAATTTGACTTCATTTTAATTTGAGCGTTTGATTTTTAGTACCACAATTAGGACAAAAAAAAAACGCATGTGAGAAAAGCCTCATTCATAAACAGTCTTAAGCTACGCAGTTTAATTCCAATGCATCTCTGCTTCTGTTGGTTCATGATTTTAGTACTCATTTTTTGTTCATTTACCAATTTCACTAGATGGGTTGGTTTCCTTCTTCATTATATATGTATACGCATACAGATCAAGGCTTTTTAACTTGGGGGGAATTTTTTTGTTCGCACTTCATTTGGGACATGATTCATGAATATGGATGAATAGCAGGAGTTGAAAGAGGTTTTGTTCTGAATTTGAACTTGTCTTGGTTAAGTGAGGTGTCATGCTAATAATTTGGCCACAATTTACACTGTTTGAAAGGGGCATGACAAAATCTTGAGCAACATGTTCAAATTGTGCGGCTTGTACAGGGTCAATGGTCGTGGTTCATTTTGATGTCAGATTCTTGGGCTCTTGCCAATGTAAATTTTGCAAATGATCTGAGCGCTTTTATTTGTAATGTGCTGAGTGGTATGTAGAACATTCATATATGTGCTGTTTCCACATTTCAATGTGCAATGTGTTTCCGATGATGGAGTCGATCGCAGGGCAATTGCTTGTCTTTTGAGTGGAACTTGTTCCCAATCACTTATTTAGTGCTCTATCTAGTTTTTTCCATTCCATTTGTTGTTCTTTGCATTTTGTTTCACTTGCCATGCAGACATATGCTTATGTTGTAGTGAATCCATTTTTGTTTCAGTGAAGACTCTAACAAAAGAAGGCCCCAGAGAAATAAAGTTCTTAAAGATATAGAAAAGGTTCTCCATGTTCCTGCCCAAGATAGAAACTTAAACTGCAAGCCCACCTTGAAACTTGTGTTGGTCGTTATTCTATTGGGGACTTTTGTAACACTCTTCGTCTCTCCTGCTGTTTATAGTACTGATCATCAATCCAGTTCTGTATCTCGGTATCGTTTCCGATGATGGAGTCGATTGCAGGGCAGTTGCTTTTCTTTTGAGTGGAACTTGTTCCCAATCACTTATTTAGTGCTCTATCTAGTTTTTTCCATTCCATTTGTTGTTCTTTGCATTTTGTTTCACTTGCCATGCAGCATATGCTTATGTTGTAGTGAATCCATTTTTGTTTCAGTGAAGACTCTAACAAAAGAAGGCCCCAGAGAAATAAAGTTCTTAAAGATATAGAAAAGGTTCTCCATGTTCCTGCCCAAGATAGAAACTTAAACTGCAAGCCCACCTTGAAACTTGTGTTGGTCGTTATTATATTGGGGACTTTTGTAACACTCTTTGTCTCTCCTGCTGTTTATAGTACTGATCATCAATCCAGTTCCATATCTCGGTATGTCCTATTAGCTTATCACCTTGCTTTCACTTATTATTGCATGGTATTAGTTTATTCTTTGTTACTTCTTGCTTCAATCAAAAGACTTCTTTGTTGAGATTTTCAATAATTTATGTTTTCCCCACCTGGGAAAATATGTTGTCAGGAATTGGAAAAGCTATCTTTTCAGTTTGCAGTCAAAATGAAATTGTTTTTTTTATAAATAAATATTTTTTTGGCTTTGCTCTCCTTCCCTTGGAAATATTTTGTAACAATAGTTTATTGCCAGCAGGCTAACTTCTCAAGACAGATCAAGAAAAAAGAGTGTTGCCGCAGATTTACGTTACGTATCATCTTTAGACATTAGCTGGCATGAAATTTCTCATGTTCTTGAAACACTGACTGACAAAAAGGACTATCAGGGAATTGGCCTATTAAACTTTAATCACAATGAGGTTGATCATTGGAAGGAGCTGTTGCCAGATTGTGAGCATGTTGTTCTACACCTCAACCATGTGTCAAACAACATAACATGGGAATCCTTGTACCCTGAATGGATAGATGAAGTAGAAGAGTTTGAAGTTCCTACTTGTCCCTCTCTGCCAAAGCTTCAAATTCCTGGAAAACCACGGCTTGATCTGGTCGCTGTCAAGCTTCCCTGCAACAAGTCAGGCAGCTGGTCAAGAGATGTGGCTCGTTTTCACTTGCAACTTGAAGTAGCAAGGCTTGCTGCCTCATCCAAAGGATACCACCCTGTGCGTGTGCTTTTGGTGACTGACTGTTTCCCAATCCCAAATTTATTCACTTGCAAGGAGCTTGTTAGACATGAAGGGAATGTATGGCTTTATGAATCAAACTTGAATACGTTGAGAGATAAGCTACAGCTCCCTGTAGGGTCATGTGAACTTGCAGTTCCTCTCAAGGCTAAAGGTCAGATTTAAACTAGCGTCTAGTAGTGCTATTTATTTACTCTTTTCGTTTTCTTTCTAAATTTGAATTATGTTATAAGTCGTTTTTGTGAATTGAAGTGCTGGTCTAACTTTCTTCCATTACTCTTTCTTTCTGTTTTTTTCTATTAATTTTTTGAAACTCAGTGTTTTGGAGTCCTTTGAAATGTGGAACTGAGTTCATTTATAAATGAATTCTACATTTTTGTATGTTTGGAATAGCCGACCACTGTGGAATTTAATTGGAACTTGTTGCAAAAAACTTTGAGTTGTTTATGTGGAGTTTATTTTGATGTGTATGTTTTGACCTGCACCAAGGGGACAAGATTGTGCAATGAAAAAGGACGAGTTCTAAATGTAGTGGTCCCCACATTAAATGGATTTAATAATTTTGAAACTTTTGTTTGAAATAGTTTATTTGTGAATGAATTTTAATTGGAGCATAGTATGTATTAATGTGGTCCAGACGTAGGTAGATACATCATGATAGGGGGATTAGGTGTTTTTGAGGTTAGTTAAACTTTTTCTTTTTTGGTCAAGTAGTCCATCCAGGTGTCCATGCATGCTCACAACAATGGTAAATGTGAAATATATGGTATTTCATTTCTGCGATGCAAATGCCTGATGTCCTTCAATGCTGATGAGGGTGTTGGCTCACTATGCCGTCAATGTGATCAGCATCCCCCAGTGATTCATGAAGTTCACAATTGTCACACAACTGAAAGTCCTAGACATAAGAATGTAATAAGATTGAGTTGAGATGCATCGTGTCTGTCATGTGGTAAGGAGATGTGCTACTTCAATGATAAATATTAAAGTTGACCACCTGACCATCCTGAACATCAGTTGGTGAATAAATTGGTGTAGGTCCTTATATTTTTTAAATGCAGACTCCATTAAGTAATTCATATGTGGTCGGTCCAGTGCCTTTGATTGCATCCCACAAGAAAGCAAATATAAGTCATGGTTATTTTGGAAATTTTACTGATGTAATAATTGCAGCATACTTGATAAGTGTTGAACTAAATACTTGCACGCAGAACATTTTTTCTCGGAAGGAGCCCACCGAGAAGCATATGCAACAATCCTACACTCTGCCCATGTATATGTGTGCGGAGCCATTGCTGCAGCACAGAGCATCCGTATGGCTGGTTCAACACGAGATCTTGTCATACTTGTTGATGAAACAATCAGTGAGTATCATCGAGGAGGATTGGCAGCTGCTGGGTGGAAGATCCACCCAATTGAAAGAATCAGGAACCCTAAAGCTGAACCAAAAGCATACAATGAATGGAACTACAGCAAATTCCGCCTTTGGCAGTTGACTGATTACGACAAGATCATTTTCATTGATGCTGACATGCTTATTCTTAGGAATATTGACTTCCTGTTTGAGATGCCAGAAATATCAGCTACAGGAAATAACGCTACTCTGTTCAACTCGGGTGTGATGGTTGTGGAACCATCAAATTGTACATTCCAGCTGCTCATGGATCATGTCAATGAAATTGTATCTTACAACGGCGGGGATCAGGGATATCTCAATGAGATATTTACATGGTGGCACAGGATCCCAAAGCATATGAACTTCTTGAAACATTTCTGGGAAGGTGATGAACCAGAGATAAAGCAGATGAAAACTCGCCTCTTCGAAGCTGACCCTCCAATCCTCTTTGTCCTCCATTACCTGGGTAATAAACCATGGCTTTGCTTCCGTGATTATGACTGCAATTGGAATGTGGACTTTTTGCAAGAGTTTGCCAGTGATGTTGCACATAAAAGGTGGTGGAAAGTGCATGATGCTATGCCAGAGAACTTGCAAAAGTTCTGTTTGCTTCGGTCGAAGCAGAAGGCAGCACTAGAATGGGATCGGAGGCAAGCTGAGAAAGCAAATTACACTGATGGTCACTGGAAAATTAAGATAAAAGACAAGCGTTTGAAGACATGCTTTGAGGATTTCTGCTTCTGGGAGAGCATGTTATGGCACTGGGGTGAAAAGAATTGGACAGATAATGCCACTGTTACTCCATCACCACCTGCGCTTACTACCTCTTCGGTATCTTCTTCGTGACTTGTTTTCTTCTTTTACTTACATACTTCATTCCGAGGACACAAGTCAACCCGTAGTTCATGCCTACAAATGTGAGAAAGAAAAGTGTATCTCCTTAAACTTCACTTAGTATCTAGCTCAACTCATTTTTTCGTAATACATCTTATACCCATTTCCCCATCAAGGTGGGATAGATTTGTGCACTTTCAATGCTTTTTGAGGCTGTATGAAGTGATATCGTCATTTCTAGTCATCTTTAAAGCGGCCTTGGCCTTTCTTATGTTGGCTAGTGTCTTGTTCTAAATTTCCAGATTGATTTTGTTTCTTTTTACCAGTTCTTATTACTGTTCCGGGATTTCGATACCAGTTTGCCAACCATTGTCATGGTCTGCTAAATTTACAGAAATTTATGCACTGCCGTTGTCTTGATCTGGTGGACTAGGAAATAGGCGATTTAACTTGTGAAATTATGTAGTGGTAACTGATGAATTATTCTATAATAGGATATTCTTTAAGAAATTTATAGATTCTTTTTGTGTTTTGTTCACAACTATATTTTTTGGCCACCCAAAACTTTAATCTGAGAATTTCTCCATATAAGGTGTCCTCTAACCTACCAAAAGTTTCTCTGTTTGAAGGGAGTTGTGGACGATAGAAAAGTTTGCCATTATTATTCTTCAAATCATAGAAAAGTATGCACATTTCTCAACTTTCTTGACCACAATCATCTACCACCAACTACACTGCGCAATAAAAGAATAAACTAATACGACCCCAATGCTTGACAATGATGATTTTTTTTTTGGTGGTCAAATAAACAGACAATGCTTGGTGGTTTGGTTTTGTTTTTAATTTTTTTAAATCAAGGTTGTTTGGTTTTGGTTAAGATGTCATTAATTAACATAAACCCTTCACCAAATAAATCTTATTAACATAAATGAGTGAAAACAGTGAGGTTAAAGTGATAACCACTGTTTGTTATTAAGTATAATTACTATAATTGAGTGCTAAGTGTCTATCACACCATTGTCACCTCTGTTTTTCTTTAATTCCTTTGAAAACCCCACTTTAACCAGCTATTATTTTTATCAACTAACTCTATAAATGAGGAAAAAGAAAGGATGAACTCCTCATTTAGGCAATGTGATTCAACCACAAATTGATGTGTCTTTTTTTAATTTTGTTTTTTTAAAAAAAAAAATTCTCAAAATTGCATACTTATTGTACATGTTGTTCAGCATAGTAAAATTATTGATAAGGGAATATATATATTTTATTTTTATAGAAAATTTGGGATAAGTTTAAAATTTAGAACATAAGTTGGGTTTAATCATCGCATTTGTTGTTATTGATATAAGGCCTCGTGCTAGATGAAGGTGAGTATGTACATATAAAGCACATCACCCCCTCTCCGTTGGTCGATGTGAGATGTTGCAATCCACTCCCCTTAGGGGCCCGACGTCCTCATCGGCATACTCGCACCACATGACAGAGTGGCTCTGATACCAAATTGTCACATCTCGGGATCGGCTCCGCCGTAACACGATATTGTCCGCTTTGGGCTCTCCTCTCTACCTTCATGGTTTTATTTCTGGGAACTCACGAGCAACTTCCCAATGGGTCACCCATCCTAGAATTGCTCTAGTCTAAATTCGCTTAACTTCGGAGTTTCCATGACTCCGAAGCCAGTGAGCTCCCGAAAGGCCTTGTGCTAGATAGAGGTGAGCATGTATATATAAGACATCTCCCCTCTCCATTGATCGATGTGAGATGTTACAGTATTTTCTAATGTAGATATATTATTATTATTTTTATAAAATTATATAGTTCTTCTTATTATACCACTAAAGTATAAACTGTGTAGAAATTGATTTATAGGACAATAATTACAAGATTTTATTATGATTTTAATATAGGGATATACATAGGTTAGTAAATCTCATATTTTTAGGACAATTTATTATTTTGGAGATACAATAAAATAACTATTTTTATTTTTGCTATATTATATACTCTTGTAGGTATATTATCCTATGGTGTAGGTATATTGTCCTATTGCCTATTGATATATATATATATGTGTGTGTGTGTGTGTGTGTGTGTGTGTTTTTTTTTTTTTTTTTTTTTTTTTTTTTGAAAATGTGTAATAGTTTTTTTTTTCCTTTTTTTTTATTTTTTTTTTTTATAGGTAATATACAATTTTATTAGTCTATTTTTGTATCTGACTTATAGGTAGTCTTCTAATTTATGTTACTAACTTATTGGTAACACAATTTATCACTAAATTTTTTTAATTGCTAATAATAACACTATTTACCTGTATGTCATGTACATAATTTCATGTGGGTGCTTGTCTAATCGATTGATATAATATGTGGGTCTTTACTTTTCATTGATTAAATTGTATTTTATTAATATATTAGGTAAATATTATGAAGGAAATAATGCATTAAATTTAGACTTTTAATGTGTTTCCCCTATTTACCTCAAAGTGTAAAATCAACACAACAAAAAAAAAGTAATAAATTTCAAACGACCTACATTTAAAACAAAAAACTCCTGGACTAAACCCAATAGCAGTTAATCGTTTTGCACCTAAATTTAAGGAGCCCCTTTTTTTTTTTTTTTTTCTAAATGACATTTGTGGTCAATGAGATTACTCTAATTTACTGTTTTGGAACTGGTAAATGTATTTTCATTTCATTGTCAGTGGCAACTTTGGTTGAAGTAGGGTTGTTGTCGTTGGAGTTGGAAAGGGTCACAAAAAGACTTAAAATTTTGACTTCGGTAGAAAAATTAAAGGAATTCATTTAAGAATTTTTTATTTTGAGAAATAGATATACAAAAAAGAGGAATGCTAGCAACATTCTCTCTAACCTTCTCTTTTGGACTTTCTCCCTTCTCCTAATGACAAGTGTCATTTTCTTTACATTTAAAACAATGTCATTAATGTATCACACAAGTTAGTTTTGGTTTTCCAAGTTTACCATTTTAAAATGTATTGGCTTTTATATTTCCTTGAATTTATTCAAATTTTGTTACAACTTCTTTAGCACATTATTAAAAAATTAAATAATAATAAATAAAAAAAGAAAAACGTCATATATATATATATTTAAAATAAAGTTTGTATCAAGATGTTGTTATCATCTTTATTTTGATTTTAACAAAACACACGTTCTCTTTGGGGGAAAAAAAAACTTTAGTTTTTATTTTCTTATTTAATTTTGTTAACAAGGTGGTAAAAAAGTTGTTAAAAAAAATTAATACATTCAATAAGGGTAAATTTGGAAAACAAAAACTAGTTTGTATGATGCATTAATGACATTGTTTTAAGTGTAAGGAAATTGACATTCGTCATGCGAAGAAGGAAGAATGTCCAAAAGAGAAAGTTAGAGAGAAGATTGCTAGCACTACCCTAAAAAAAAGGGTGCATATCAGTTTTATGGGAGAAAAAAAGCTAAGAGGAGAGAAGCATTATCCGATAACAAAGGAATGTAAAACTAGAAAATGATGGTGACAGAAAACATGATTATGAAAAACAAAAGTTTTTTGATGGTGACGAAACATCCTAACTTACGTGGCTTCGAAAGTACTGTTAAAAATGCTTGAAGGCTGGTTAAGCCACGACAATGACAAAGCCTTCATTTTGGTCAAACAGAGGAATGGCGAGGCTGCGTGAACGATCAAATTTTTTTTTGAATTTTGCTGCAGAAACTGGTTTGCTTTGTATTTGTGCCTACTCTTCATCATTCATCACGATTGCGTAAAAGCTCTTCAAACATGCAGAAAAAAACTTAGCGTAAAAACTTGGACTGGAGCTGAATAAAGACCCGAAAAGGTACAACCAAAAGACAGAATAAGACCCAGAAGGTAAGCAGGCCTCATTCTTGAATTGACCAACCGCCTTAGGCTTCTCAAATGCGCTGTCTGCAAGTGCTGTTTTCCTTTTTCTATTTTCAAATTCACAGTTTTTTTTTCTTTCTTTATTTATATCAAATCAGGATATCAGAATCAGATGGTGCCTGCCCACATGCTTCAAACCTCAAACCGAATGAGCAAAGATGAGAGGGCCATCCCCAAGTCCAGTTGAACCCAGACACCGCCTATCTGGTTCAGCGAAGTCAGTTACTCTCTCTTTAAATTTTTAGTTTTAGTTATTTTTCTTTCTGGTTTAGTGTAATTTGACTTCATTTTGCTTGGATATCAGATTAATAAGCATGTAAGAAAAGTCTTCCTATGTATCTCTGCTTCTGTTGGTTCAAAAAGTGTCATTTACCAGTTTGATTAGATGGGTTCCTGCTAAATTATATATATGTATATGCATACAGGTCAAGCCTAGACCTTTTAAATTGTGGCAAAATTTACTATGTTGGCATTAAATTGGGTCCATGAACATGGATGAATAGTGGGTCTCGAAAAGTTTGTATTGTAAATTTGAACGTGTTTTGATTAAGTGAAGAGTCTTGCCAATAATTAGACTACAATTTGCACTGTGTGAAATATTTTGGTGAGGATCTGCCATTCCATGTATTTAGCTACTGTGTGATGGTCATGGTGCATGAGATTTCAATATCGAATTCTTGGGATATTGCTGAACTAGTTTGCAAATGATATTTATAACTTTTCTTTGTAATCTGCCTAATGGGATGTAGCAGTAGGACACTTCAAATTTGTGCTGTTTCCGCATAGACATATCACTGTGCAATGCATTTACAACGACCGAGTTGATTGCGTAACATTTATTTGTCTTTCTGAGATTGTTTCCAATGGCATTCACTTATTTACTACTTTATTTAGTTTTTCCCATTCCATTTTGTTGCTCTTTGTACTTTCTTTCTCTTGCCATTCAGACATGTGTTGATGTTGTTATGAACCCCTTTTTGTTTCAGTGAAGATGCTAACAAAAGAAGGTCCCAGAGAAATAAAGTTCTTAAAGATATTGAAAAGGCTCTCCACGTTCATGCTACAGATAGAATCTTGAATTGCAAGCCTACCTTGAAGCTTGTGTTGATCATTCTTGTATTTGGGACTTTTGTGACTCTCTTCCTCTCTTCTGCTGTTTATAATACAGATCATCTATCCACTTCTGTATCTCAGTATGTCCTATGAGCTGATCACCTTGATTTCTCTTCTTATTGAGTGGTATTAGGTTACGGTTAGATAGTTTCTTGCTTCAACCTTTAATTTATTTTCTGATGTTGAGCCCTTCAAAAATTTCTCATCCTGGGAAACTATATTGTCAGCACTGCACTCTCTTTTCTCTTTGTCTGGACTGGAAAAGTCATCTTAGTAGCTAAGAGGCAAAAGAGCATTGTTCTTTTCTTTTCAGGCAAAAGAGCATTGCTCTTTTCTTTTGTTCTCCTTTGCTCTTTCTCGATCTCTCTCCCGTGGCAACATTTGTAACACAAGTTTATATCCTGCAGGCTAACTTATCAACACATATGGACGAAAAAGAGTGCTGCTGGAGATTTACGTTACGTATCATCTTTAAACATTAACTGGAATGAAATTTCTGGTTTTATTGAAAACCTGACTGACAGAAAAGATAATCTGGGAATTGGGCTATTAAACTTTAACCACAATGAGATTGACCATTGGAAGGAGCTCTTGCCAGATTGTGAACATGTTGTTCTAAACCTCAACTATGCGGCAAATAACATAACATTGGGAATCCCTGTATCCTGAATGGATAGATGAAGAACAAGAGTCCGAAGTCCCTACTTGTCCCTCTCTACCAAAGCTTCAAATTCCTGGAAAACCACGTCTTGATCTGGTTGCTGTCAAGCTTCCCTGCAACAAGTCAGGCAGCTGGTCAAGAGATGTGGCTCGGTTGCACTTGCAGCTTGAAGCAGCAAGGCTTTCTGCCTCTTCCAAAGGATATCACCCTGTGCGTGTGCTTTTGGTGACTGACTGTTTCCCAATCCCAAATTTATTCACGTGCAAGGATCTTGTTAGACGTGAAGGGAATACATGGCTCTATGAACCAAACCCGAATACGTTGAGAGATAAGTTACAGCTCCCTGTAGGGTCATGTGAACTTGCAGTTCCTCTCAAGGCTAAAGGTCAGATTCAAACTAGTATCTTGTGTTGGTTTATCAAATATTTCTTTTCAACATTTAAACTTTCTTTTGAGTCATTTGCTTTGTGCAATGAAAGCTGCTGATCTACCTCTTTACCATTAATCTTTCTTTCTGTTTTCACTTTTATTTTTTAGAACATCGGTGTTTTGGAAATTTTCAAAATGTGGAAATGAGTTCATTGTGAATGAATTCCACATTTTGAATGCATCCCACAAGTAAGCAAATATAACTCATGGTTACTTTCAAATTTTACTGAGCTTGAACTGCATTACACCTTATAATACAGAACATGTTAACTCCCAAAGAGCCCACAGAGAAGCATATGCGACAATCCTACACTCTGCCCATGTATATGTTTGTGGAGCCATTGCTGCAACTCAGAGCATCCGAATGGCTGGTTCAACACGAGATCTTGTCATACTGGTAGATGAAACAATCACCGAGTATCATCGAGGGGGATTGGAGGCTGCTGGGTGGAAGATCCACACAATCCAAAGAATCAGGAAACCTAAAGCTGAACCAGAAGCGTACAATGAATGGAACTACAGCAAATTCCGTCTTTGGCAGTTGACGGATTATGACAAGATCATTTTCATTGATGCAGACATGCTTATACTTCGAAATATTGATTTCCTGTTTCAGATGCCCGAAATATCTGCCACAGGAAATGATGCTAGTTTGTTCAACTCAGGTGTGATGGTTGTGGAACCATCAAATTGTACATTCCAGCTGCTCATGGATCATGTCAATGAAATTGTATCCTACAACGGCGGGGATCAGGGATATCTCAATGAGATATTTACATGGTGGCACAGGATCCCAAAGCATATGAACTTCTTGAAACATTTCTGGGAAGGTGATGAGCCGGAGATAAAGCAGATGAAAACTCGCCTCTTCGAAGCTGACCCTCCAATCCTCTATGTCCTCCATTATCTGGGCAATAAACCATGGCTATGCTTCCGTGACTATGACTGCAACTGGAATGTGGATTTTATGCAGGAGTTTGCTAGTGACGTTGCACATAAAAGGTGGTGGAAAGTGCATGATGCTATGCCCCAGAACTTGCAAAACTTCTGCTTGCTCCGGACAGAGCAGAAGGCAGGCCTAGAGTGGGATCGGAGGCAAGCCGAGAAAGCAAATTACACTGACGGCCACTGGAAAATTAAGATAAAAGACAATCGTTTGAAGACATGCTTTGAGGAATTCTGCTCCTGGAAGAACATGTTACGGCACTGGGGCGAAAAGAATTGGACAGATAATGCTATTATTACTCCATCGCTACCTGCACTTACTACTGCATCTGTCTCTTCGTTATGACTTGTTTTATTCTTTCATACTTGCATACTTCCGTTCTGAAGACACAAATCAACGAGTAGTGTATCTGCTTAAAATTCAGTTAGTCTAGCTCAACAAATTTTTTGTAAAATTTTGTGCCCATATTCCCCAATACGTCTTACACAAATGTTTCCATCAATGTGCCATAGAGTCTTGTACTTTCAATGCTTTTTGAGGCTGCATGCCATGATATCATGATTTCTTTTTTTGTTGCTGCTCTGAAACATGCACAAAACATGGAGACCGGTCGGACCCCTACTACAGTCTTGTTTTCTTGCTTCCAACAGTTCATGCTAAATGGCGAGCCAATCACAACAGTCTCCACTTTGGCAGCCATCAACCAAACATGACAATTGCACCTTTAGGTAATACTCTTGAAGACCAGTCTCACAATCTTCAAGAAACCTTCACCTTGACAAATGACCATTTGCCTCAATGCACCTCAAGTGCGGAGGTTGTCCACCCAATCTCTAGCATGCGAAAAGTTCTAGTAAGCTCAAAAAATGTTTGAAACCGCTCCCTTGTAGATCCTTTCTTGCACATGAAGGCAACCCTACTTCTTTAACCTTGTAAATTTTGTTGCTATATCACTTGTAAATTGTGTTGTTATATCACTTGTAAATATGCTTGCCTACTAATACTATTAAGGTTGTGGTTCTCGTAAACTAATGTGAGGTTACTCTACAGCAAAATTGTATCCTCGGGATTGGCGTACTGTAAATGTTCATTTTTATCTATATCTTACATAAGATTCTGTACGTAAAAGATTGATTCCCCTTCCGGTGGTAGATGATCCTTTCATAAGGCTGTGGAGATCCGGTGATCACCGAGATAACTTCCATGATAGTGAAATCAATTTATGGGGTTTACATCTGAATTCTGGATAAGGTTGAGGTTAACTGCTGAGCTCTTAGAGCATCTCCAACCGATGTGTCAAAAGTGTCACATAGACATTTAACGGCTAGAAATAAAATCTCACATCACTCTGACCGATTTGTCAAAGCTGATGTGGAATGAAGGCTGGAGGTTGAGATGTTATTTTTGACATCTCAAAAACAAGATGTCAAATGAATATTTTATTATTTTTAAAGATAGTTAGTTGTTACTTTCATTTATTATTTTCCTTTTTATATTTTTTTTCTTCTTGATCTTAAATGATTTGACTATTATAATAATTATTTATTTGACATATCGGGTGGAATATAAAACTGTGTAAATGTCAAATTGCCACATCAGCCATCAAATTTAAATTTGATGTTTGATAAGAGCATCTCCAACCGACGTGTCAAAAGTGCCATACTCGCTGTTTTTTTCCCTGATCTAGACCCAACGGGACCTTAGCTTGTTATTTTAGACCTTCTATATAGTGAAGTCCTTTTATGTCTCACCTAAATATTTACGTGTCTTGCCCATGGTGGAGGAACTAGCAACTAGCTGGTATTTTTACAAAGAATGAAAGTGCTATAGAATTGGTGGCAACTGTTTCATTGACTAAAACCTGAGTTTTCACTGAAAAGTTGGTTTTCTAAATCTATTAAAAGGTCTTTCATCAAATCCTGCATGATGATTGGAGAAGTTCCTTCGACCAGTCCAGATCATCTTATGCATATTTTCTCTTTAGGTCAATTGATTTCATCCACTAATTATGTAGCTTGATAAAATTGACTTGATATTGAGGCTGCATGCCATGATATCATGATTTCTTTGGTTTATGTTGCCTGCACAATCCATAAGAAGCTGCTGGTCACCCAAAACATGGAGACCGATTGGACCCCTACTATAGTCTTGTTTTCTTGCGTCCAACACTTCATGCTAAATGGAGAGCCAATCACAACAATCTCCATCTTGGCGAGATTGGACCCTACTATAGTTTTGTATTTATACTATTACTTGCGGTTTTAGAATCTCTTTTTCTCGTAAACTAATGTGAGTTTACTCTCCAACAAACTTGTAACCTCGAGCTTGAGGTAATGTAAATTTTCATTTTGAAAAGATTTTGTTTTATTTTCCATTGCCAATAAAACTCTGATCTTAACTATTTAATGGAGTTTGTTACACTTTTGTCCTAGAGTTATATAGATATTCTCTTTCCCGGAATATCGTCTTCCGGGAAGCTGCTAACTCCAGAGTTCAAAAAGATCATAAGGTTCCATGGTTTGAAAGAAGAGCCAGTTGTGGTAGGGGCGTATAACGATTTAGTTTTGTGCTGTGCAAGCCACTGTATCAACGCCATTACTACATCTGCAATCCATACACCACTCAATGGGCTGCTCTTCCTCCCCCTCCTCGATGCCAACAGAAAGTACTCGTGGGACTGATCTGCGATGTTCCCTATTATAACTACAAGGATGACGATGAGGACCACCTCAGCAAAGGATGCAGCGTCCAGGTCAATGCTGATTATAGCTGCAGGGTTGTCAGAATTCTCCTTCCTGATCTTTTTTCAGTTTCAGATGATGACGGATATGATAATTCTGTCAAATTATTCAAATTCCACATGGAGATCTTCGCTTTTGTGACTGGTGAATGGAGAGATTCAGTTGTATTTTCCGGAGTAAGTTTTAATTGTGTAACTACGATATTAGCATTGATTCTTATAAATGTCGCTTTCTGTCTTTTGATGATGTTTATGAACCAGCCATGGGCTGTTGTTCAGCTGAGTGCCTTGGTGTGTTCCGAGGGTGTCTGCGTTTGGGCAAGCAATACTCTATTTTTTTGGGAGTTGAAAGAGGAAGAAGTTCATTGTGATATGTTGGTGGTCGATGGAGCCGCCAAATTGTGCTTCAAACACAAGAAGACGGTTTATCCACTGGACCAAATGTTTACAGATCATGATGATCTGGTGGTGGAGCTGATAGCTTTTGACCCGAATGATGAGGATAGCTTGTATCTGAATGTCAACGGACATATAGTGGTGTGCAACATTATTACAAGAAGGTGGTCCAAAGTAGCTTCATTTGAGAGTGATATTAATGTTAATAGTTACTTCTACCAATTTGTGCTCCCATGATGGCCGACACCAGTTCCTAGACTACCACAGCATGCTCAAAATCAACCAGCCCATGGTGGAGGAACTAGCAGCTGGCCTGGTATGTATCATGTATGCTCAACAGCGCTGTTGTATTTTCTGGATCTTAAATGTTTCTTCTTTATTTATTCATTTTTGTCGAATGTTTCTACTTATTATATATGGAGGAGCACTGTGAGTTTAAATTATTCTGTGTTGTACATGCAGCGTTTATTAAAGCAGAAAATTTTCAGTAGTTTTGGATTTTATTTTTGCTATTGCAATTGGTTTTTTGTTTCCACTTTGCTAATTATTTTTTTCAGATTGCAGGTGCAGTTGGCGTTTCCTCGCTCTAGTTAATTATATTAAGGCTTGGAGCTATGCAGCATGATTAAAGTGATGTTTATCATAGCTGGTTTTGGCCCTCTGCTGGTAACTGTACTCTGTTTTACTATTGGCTTTCTAGTTTGAGATGTTATGCAGAAGTTCAATTTGTGTATTTTGTTCCCTTTTTTTTATTTTTTTCAAAAGAAATAGTATCGCCGAACGGCCATACACCCCTTCCATTTTTAATAAAAGAAATTATATCGCCGGCTATACTCTTTTTTTAATTTTTTAAAAGAATTAGTATAGCCGAGCGGCTATACTTGCTCTTTAAATTTTTTAACGAAGTAGTATAGCCGCGCGGCTATACATTGCTTTATTCTTTTTAAAAATTAGTATGGCCGCGCGGCTATACACGGTTTTTTGTCTAGTTCTTTTAGAAAAAAGAAACAGTATAGCCGCCTGGCTATACGAGGTTTTACCATTTTTTTAACAAGTACTAGCCACGCGGCGACACTCACTTTTTCCAATTTTCTTTTATAAAAGAAATAGTATAGCTGCGTGGCGTTACTTGGCTATTTTTTTTAAATAAAAAATAAATAAATAGTATAGCCGAGCCACTATACACTTTACATTTATATACTGGAATCCTCTTTCTTTTATATGTTTTTTCCCGCTTTTTGTTTATCAATAGTATTAGGCCATTCAATTGAGAGATTGATGTGTTTCACTGACACATCAAAACCATTACGAAAATGTTGCAGATTACGTAACAAACACAGAACCAAGTCAACTGCTAAACCTCTATTACATAGCCAAGTCTAAACCTACTCATCATCACCCCTAAAGCCACCAAGCATCATGCCAATCATCAGGGAGCCAAGACGAAGCCAGAGAAAGCATTGACTATTTGAATACTATGAAAACCCCCCAAAAATCCCCAATTCTGCGAATTGATTTCCACCTATAACCCTAAATTCAGTTTTACCCAAATTGAAACAATATGCCGCACGTTTAAAGCCCCTTTCCCTATTCACTTTTATTTCAATTTTATGTTATTTTATAATGTTGTGTAATTGATTTTTAAGGGCTTTATACATGTAAGCACATAAATAGGGCACAAAATATAGAAAAACCATACAATACTCAAACCTTATGAAAAAAAGCCTTAGAAATTAAGAAAAATTAATAGATTAGTTTGATTTTGATTCTTCACAATAACAGTTTTAATGGGATCTATTTTATTTTTCATTACGATTCGTGATAGCTTGTAAATAATTGGGTTAATAGTTTTATTAGTCCCTGAATTTTGACCCGATTTGCATTGGAGTACTTCAATTTCCAAAATGGTTCCCATGGTCCTTTAACTTTAGCTTCGTTTGGACAAATGGTCCTGCCTCAATTTTGTTAACTTTTTCTGTTAAATGCAGGGGCAAAATAGGATTTTTATATTAAAACAAAAAAATGAATAAAAAATCATATCTTTAAAATAACAAAGGCAAAAGAGCATTGTTCTTTTCTTTTGTTCTCCTTTGCTCTTTCTCGATCTCTTTCCCGTGGCAACATTTGTAACACAAGTTTATATCCTGCAGGCTAACTTATCAACACATATGGACGAAAAAGAGTGCTGCTGCAGATTTACGTTACGTATCATCTTTAAACATTAACTGGAATGAAATTTCTGGTTTTATTGAAAACCTGACTGACAGAAAAGATAATCTGGGAATTGGGCTATTAAACTTTAACCACAATGAGATTGACCATTGGAAGGAGCTCTTGCCAGATTGTGAACATGTTGTTCTAAACCTCAACTATGCGGCAAATAACATAACATTGGGAATCCCTGTATCCTGAATGGATAGATGAAGAACAAGAGTCCGAAGTCCCTACTTGTCCCTCTCTACCAAAGCTTCAAATTCCTGGAAAACCAGGTCTTGATCTGGTTGCTGTCAAGCTTCCCCGCAACAAGTCAGGCAGTTGGTCAAGAGATGTGGCTCGGTTGCACTTGCAGCTTGAAGCAGCAAGGCTTTCTGCCTCTTCCAAAGGATATCACCCTGTGCGTGTGCTTTTGGTGACTGACTGTTTCCCAATCCCAAATTTATTCACGTGCAAGGATCTTGTTAGACGTGAAGGGAATACATGGCTCTATGAACCAAACCTGAATCAGTTGAGAGATAAGTTACAGCTCCCTGTAGGGTCATGTGAACTTGCAGTTCCTCTCAAGGCTAAAGGTCAGATTCAAACTAGTATCTTGTGTTGGTTTATCAAATATTTCTTTTCAAAATTTGAACTTTCTTTTGAGTCATTTGCTTTGTGCAATGAAAGCTGCTGATCTACCTCTTTACCATTAATCTTTCTTTCTGTTTTCACTTTTATTTTTTCAAACATCGGTGTTTTGGAAATTTTCAAAATGTGGAAATGTGTTCATTGTGAATGAATTCCACATTTTGAATGCATCCCACAAGTAAGCAAATATAACTCATGGTTACTTTCAAATTTTACTGAGCTTGAACTGCATTACACCTTATAATACAGAACATGTTAACTCCCAAAGAGCCCACAGAGAAGCATATGCGACAATCCTACACTCTGCCCATGTATATGTTTGTGGAGCCATTGCTGCAACTCAGAGCATCCGAATGGCTGGTTCAACACGAGATCTTGTCATACTGGTAGATGAAACAATCACCGAGTATCATCGAGGGGGATTGGAGGCTGCTGGGTGGAAGATCCACACAATCCAAAGAATCAGGAAACCTAAAGCTGAACCAGAAGCGTACAATGAATGGAACTACAGCAAATTCCGTCTTTGGCAGTTGACGGATTATGACAAGATCATTTTCATTGATGCAGACATGCTTATACTTCGAAATATTGATTTCCTGTTTCAGATGCCCGAAATATCTGCCACAGGAAATGATGCTAGTTTGTTCAACTCAGGTGTGATGGTTGTGGAACCATCAAATTGTACATTCCAGCTGCTCATGGATCATGTCAATGAAATTGTATCCTACAACGGCGGGGATCAGGGATATCTCAATGAGATATTTACATGGTGGCACAGGATCCCAAAGCATATGAACTTCTTGAAACATTTCTGGGAAGGTGATGAGCCGGAGATAAAGCAGATGAAAACTCGCCTCTTCGAAGCTGACCCTCCAATCCTCTATGTCCTCCATTATCTGGGCAATAAACCATGGCTATGCTTCCGTGACTATGACTGCAACTGGAATGTGGATTTTATGCAGGAGTTTGCTAGTGACGTTGCACATAAAAGGTGGTGGAAAGTGCATGATGCTATGCCCCAGAACTTGCAAAACTTCTGCTTGCTCCGGACAGAGCAGAAGGCAGGCCTAGAGTGGGATCGGAGGCAAGCCGAGAAAGCAAATTACACTGACGGCCACTGGAAAATTAAGATAAAAGACAATCGTTTGAAGACATGCTTTGAGGAATTCTGCTCCTGGAAGAACATGTTACGGCACTGGGGCGAAAAGAATTGGACAGATAATGCTATTATTACTCCATCGCTACCTGCACTTACTACTGCATCTGTCTCTTCGTTATGACTTGTTTTATTCTTTCATACTTGCATACTTCCGTTCTGAAGACACAAATCAACGAGTAGTGTATCTGCTTAAAATTCAGTTAGTCTAGCTCAACAAATTTTTTGTAAAATTTTGTGCCCATATTCCCCAATACGTCTTACACAAATGTTTCCACCAATGTGCCATAGATTCTTGTACTTCCAATGCTTTTTGAGGCTGCATGCCATGATATCATGATTTCTTTTTTTGTTGCTGCTCTGAAACATGCACAAAACATGGAGACCGGTCGGACCCCTACTACAGTCTTGTTTTCTTGCTTCCAACACTTCATGCTAAATGGCGAGCCAATCACAACAGTCTCCACTTTGGCGAGCCATCAACCAAACATGACAATTGCACCTTTAGGTTCTCTTAATACTCTTGAAGACCATTCTCACAATCTTCAAGAAACCTTCACCTTGACAAATGACCATATGCCTCAATGCACCTCAAGTGCGGAGGTTGTCCACCCAATCTCTAGCATGCGAAAAGTTCTAGTAAGCTCAAAAAATGTTTGAAACCGCTACCTTGTAGATCCTTTCTTGCACATGAAGGCAACCCTACTTCTTTAACCTTGTAAATTTTGTTGCTATATCACTTGTAAATTGTGTTGTTATATCACTTGTAAATATGCTTGCCTACTAATACTATTAAGGTTGTGGTTCTTGCAAACTAATGTGAGGTTACTCTACAGCAAACTTGTATCCTCGGGATTGGCGTAATGTAAATGTTCATTTTAATCTATATCTTACATAAGATTCTGTACGTAAAAGATTGCTTCCCCTTCCAGGTGGTAGATGATCCTTTCATAAGGCTGTGGAGATCCGGTGATCACCGAGATAACTTCCATGATAGTGAAATCAATTTATGGGGTTTACATTTGAATTCTGGATAAGGTTGAGGTTAACTGCTGAGCTCTTAGGCTACTCGCTGTTTTTTTTCCTCATCTAGACCCAACGGGACCTTAGCTTGTTATTTTAGACCTTCTATATAGTGAAGTCCTTTTATGTCCCACCTAAATATTTACGTGTCTTGCCCATGGTGGAGGAACTAGCAACTAGCTGGTATTTTTACAAAGAATGAAAGTGCTATAGAATTGGTGGCAACTGTTTCATTGACTAAAACCTGAGTTTTCACTGAAAAGTTGGCTTTCTAAATCTATTAAAAAGTCTTTCATCAAAATCCTGCATGATGATTGGAAAAGTTCCTTCAACCAGTCCAGATCATCTTATGCATATTTTCTCTTTAGGTCAATTGATTTCATCCACTAATTATGTGGCTTGATAAAATTGACTTGATATTGAGGCTGCATGCCATCATATCATGATTTCTTTGGTTTATGCTGCCTGCAAAATCCATAAGAAGCTGCTGGTCAGCCAAAACATGGAGACCGATATTGGACCCCTACTATAGTTTTGTTTTCTTGCTTCCAACACTTCACGCTAAATGGCAAGCCAATCACAACAATCTCCATATTGGCGAGATTGGACCCCTACTATAGTTTTGTATTTATACGATTACTTGCGGTTTCAGAATCTCTTTTTCATGTAAACTAATGTGAGTTTGCTCTACAACAAACTTGTAACCTCGAGCTTGAGGTAATGTAAATTTTCATTTTGAAAAGATTTTGTTTTATTTTCCATTGCCAATAAAACTCTGATCCAACCCGTTTTAAAGTTTGTTACACTTTTATCATAGAGTTATATAGATATTCTCTTGCCCGGAATATCTTCCGGGAAGCTGCTAACTCCGGAGTTCAAAAAGATCATAAGGTTCCATGGTTTGAAAGAAGAGCCAGTTGTGGTAGGGGCACATAACGATTTAGTTTTGTGCTGTGCAAGCCACTGGTATCAACACCATTACTACATCTGCAATCCATACACCACTCAATGGGTTGCTCTTCCTCCCCCTCCTCGATGCCAACAGAAAGTAGCTTCATTTGAGAGTATTAATGTTAATAGTTATTTCTACCAATTTGTGCTCCCATGGTGGCCGACACCAGTTCCTAGACTACCACAGCATGCTCAAAATCAACCAGCCCATGGTGGAGGAACTAGCAGCTAGCCTAGTATGTATCATGTATGCTCAACAGCGCTGTTGTATTTTCTGGATCTTAAATGTTTCTTCTTTATTTATTCATTTTTGTCGAATGTTTCTACTTATTATATATGGAGGAGCACTGTGAGTTTAAATTATTCTGTGTTGTTTATGCAGCGTTTATTAAAGCAAGTCGAAGTTTTATTAAGTTGAATTGGACTTGCAGTAGTTTTGGATTTTATTTTTGCTATTGCAATTGGTTTTTTGTTTCCACTTTGCTAATTATTTTTTTCAGATTGCAGGTGCAGTTGGCGTTTCCTCGCTCTAGTTAATTATATTAAGGCTTGGAGCTATGCAGCATGATTAAAGTGATGTTTATCATAGCTGGTTTTGGCCCTCTGCTGGTAACTGTACTCTGTTTTACAATTGACTTTCTAGTTTGAGATGTTATGCAGAACTTCAATTTGTCTATTTTGTTCCCCTTTTTTTTTTTCAAAAGGAATTGTATCGCCGCGCGGCTATACTCTGTTTTTAATTTATAAAAACAATTCGTATAGCCGCGCGGCTATACACTTTTTAAATTTTTTTGTTTGTCAAATTTTTTTAATTAAATAGTATAGCCGCATGGTTATATACTTTTTTAATTTTTTATGAACGAAATAGTATAGCCGCCTGGCTATACGTGGGTTTTATAATTTTTTTAACAGGCATCGTATAGCCGCCCGGCTATACTCACTTTTTCCAATTTTTTTTTTATATAAAAGAAATAGTATAGCCGCGCGGCGTTACTTGGCTCTTTTTTTTTCATATTAAAAAATAGTATAGCTGATCGGCTATACGCTTTACATTTATATACTGGGATCCTCTTTCTTTTATATGTTTTTCCCGCTTTTTGTTTATCAATAGTATTAGGCCATTCAATTGAGATTGATGTGACCATTACGAAAATGTTGCAGATCAGATAACAAACACAGAACCAAGTCAACTGCTAACCCTCCATTACACAGCCAAGTCTAAACCTACTCATCATCACCCCTAAAGCCACCAAGCATCATGCCAATCATCAGGGAGCCAAGACGAAGCCAGAGAAAGCATTGACTATTTGAATACTATGAAAACCCCCCAAAAATCCCCAATTCTGCGAATTGATTTCCACCTATAACCCTAAATTCAGTTTTACCCAAATTGAAACAATATGCCGCACGTTTAAAGCCCCTTTCCCTATTCACTTTTATTTCAATTTTATGTTATTTTATAATGTTGTGTAATTGATTTTTAAGGGCTTTATACATGTAAGCACATAAATAGGGCACAAAATATAGAAAAACCATACAATACTCAAACCTTATGAAAAAAAGCCTTAGAAATTAAGAAAAAATAATAGATTAGTTTGATTTTGATTCTTCACAATAACAGTTTTAATGGGATCTATTTTATTTTTCATTACGATTCGTGATAGCTTGTAAATAATTGGGTTAATAGTTTTATTAGTCCCTGAATTTTGACCCGATTTGCATTGGAGTACTTCAATTTCCAAAATGGTTCCCATGGTCCTTTAACTTTAGCTTCGTTTGGACAAATGGTCCTGCCTCAATTTTGTTAACTTTTTCTGTTAAATGCAGGGGCAAAATAGGATTTTTATATTAAAACAAAAAAATGAATAAAAAATCATATCTTTAAAATAACAACATGATTAAAGTGATGTTTATCATAGCTGGTTTTGGCCCTCTGCTGGTAACTGTACTCTGTTTTACAATTGACTTTCTAGTTTGAGATGTTATGCAGAACTTCAATTTGTCTATTTTGTTCCCCTTTTTTTTTTCAAAAGGAATTGTATCGCCGCGCGGCTATACTCTGTTTTTAATTTTTAAAAAGAATTCGTATAGCCGCGCGGCTATACACTTTTTAAATTTTTTTGTTTGTCAAATTTTTTTAATTAAATAGTATAGCCGCATGGTTATATACTTTTTTAATTTTTTATGAACGAAATAGTATAGCCGCCTGGCTATACGTGGGTTTTATAATTTTTTTAACAGGCATCGTATAGCCGCCCGGCTATACTCACTTTTTCCAATTTTTTTTTTATATAAAAGAAATAGTATAGCCGCGCGGCGTTACTTGGCTCTTTTTTTTTCATATTAAAAAATAGTATAGCTGATCGGCTATACGCTTTACATTTATATACTGGGATCCTCTTTCTTTTATATGTTTTTCCCGCTTTTTGTTTATCAATAGTATTAGGCCATTCAATTGAGATTGATGTGACCATTACGAAAATGTTGCAGATCAGATAACAAACACAGAACCAAGTCAACTGCTAACCCTCCATTACACAGCCAAGTCTAAACCTACTCATCATCACCCCTAAAGCCACCAAGCATCATGCCAATCATCAGGGAGCCAAGACGAAACCAGAGAGAGCATTGATTATTTGAATACTATGAAAACCCCCAAGAATCCCTAAATTCAGTTTTACCCAAATTGAAACAATATGCCGCACGTTTAAAGCCCCTTTCCCTATTCACTTTTATTTCACTTTTATGTTATTTTATAATGTTGTGTAATTGATTTTTAAGGGCTTTATACATATAAGCACATAAATATAGAAAAACCATACAATACTCAAACATTATGAAAAAAGCCTTAGAAATTAAGAAAAATTAATAGATTGGTTTGATTTTGATTCTTCACAATAACAGTTTTAATGGGATCTATTTTATTTTTCAGTTTGATTTGTGACAGTTTGTAAATAAGTTAATTGAAATGACTTCAATTCCTCGTTACTCCGAATTGTGCTTATCAAACCACACAATAAATGACAATAAATGTCATTGGTAACAAAACATTTAACATGTTTTGGGAATAAAAATATTTAAAAGGGTTAAATACATTGTTAGTCACTGAGTTTTACATGAAATTTCAATTTGGTTACTGAGAAACAAATTTAGCCAAATTGGTCACCGTATTATCAAAATTTTACAATTTTTAGACTTGATTTAGTTTCCATCAAGTTGTTAGGTTAATTAACTTTTTAGTCATTGAATTTTACATTAAATTTCATATTGACCTCTAAAACAAAATCTAGCCAAAAGCCATGCAAATATGAAACTTTTTTTTGAACTTTTTTTTTTGGGTCAAGTCTATGTATTGACATAGTTATGGATTTAAATTTTTGTGAATGTGGGAGTATGATACTAGTTGGGATTATGATTTGAGCTTTTTTGAAAAGATCGATTTTCATTTTTGTGAGATTATTATATATGAACACATTTTGTCATGATATGATTCATTTTTTAGCTTTAATTGATGCTACAACAACCATAAATTTTTAGCTTACAAGCAGCGTGTGCAAGAGCATTGCATTTACATAGATTTTGGCCACTTATTTATTTATTTATTTTTTTCTTAGTGATCAAATTGAAATTTCGTG